TATTTTATTTTATTTTTATTTATTTTGTTTTATTTTGTTTTATTTTAGTATATTATTATAGTTTTATCTTTTAGATTATTTGTAAGTATATTTGTTTATTTATTTATGCATTTGTTTGTTTGCTGCAGATGATATAAACGAAGAAGTTTTAAAGATACTTTCTTTTAATTCTTTTTCTTTTCTTTCTTCTTTAAAAACCCCTGCAGGCTCTTCATTAATTATATTTGAGAGAATGCGAATAATAGACTTTGATATTAAACCCATTAATAAAATACCTCGGTAATTAATTTTATCTTCTTCTTTGTTTATTTGTTTGTTTATTATCTACTTATTTGTTTATTTATTTGTTTATTTATTTGCTTGTTATTTATTTATTTGTTTGCTTATTTATTTGCTTATTTGTTTGTTTATTTGTCTTGTTTGCTTTATTTGTTTTACTGTTTTGTTTATTCAGTTCTTTTGTTTGTCTATTCGTGTGTTTGTTTGTTTGTTTGTTTGTTTGTTTGTTTGTTTGTTTGTTTGTTTGTTTGTTTGTTTATTTGTTTGTTTGTTTGCTTATTTGTTTTCTATTTGTTTATTTTTTTAATTGTTTATTTTCTTTTTATTTGTTTATTTGTTTATATGTTTGTTTGTTTATTTTAGGGTTGAATTTCTTTTGTTTTGTTTGCTTTTAACTAATTAATATTATTTATTTTTGTTTGCTTTGCTAATTTTTTAATTCTTTTTATTTTTTGTTTGCTTATAATGCATATTTATTTATTTATTTTACCTAATTAATATTTTATATTTTTATTTTTTTGTTTTTGTTTTGTATCTCAGCTGGGCTCAGCATATGAAGGATTTGCACGAAATGTACAGGCGGCTGAATGCAGAAGATGTTCTTTGTTTATTTTAAATATTATAATTATATTAATTAATTATAATTAATCTATTAATTATATAATTATTATGTAATCATAATTAAATAATGTAGAATAAATAATTATTATTTTTATTCTATTATAATGTTTATTAGAGCTGTTCTTTATTTGAATAAATAAAAAAATAATTATTATATATTATTTAACTTATGATGCAATATAATAATTAAATAGTATATAGTAATTAATTATTTATTATTATCATTCTATTATGATGTTTATTAGAGCTGCTTTTTATTTAAATAAATATCTTTTTATGTTTTTATCTCCCTTTGTTTAATTTAAAAAACTTATCCTTTGTCTTGTGTGCTTTATATAAATAAAACAAACAAAATATGTTTTATTGTTGTTTTTTGCTTTAAAGAAGAAACAAATATTCTTTTAATGACGTTGTTTGTTTTAATCAAAAGAGAACAAACATTATACAGCAGCAACAGCAGCAGCAGCAGCTCCTCCTGCTGCTGCAGCACACTCATTACCTGCACCTCTGTAGCACTGGCAGCAGCAATAGCACAAACACTACTAGCTGCAGCAGTAGCAGCAGCAGAAGCATCAGAAGCAGCAGCAGCAGCAGCACTGGTCGTTGACACAAACAGGACGAGCTGCTTCGCTTCTTGCCGTAGCTAGAGAAGCAGCAGCAACAGAAGCAGCAGCAACAGAAGCAGCAGCAACAGAAGCAGCAGCAACAAAAGCAGCAGCAACAGAAGCAGCAGCAACAGAAGCAGCGGCAACAGAAGCAGCAGCAACAACCGATGGAGCACACTGAAGTAACAGGGGTAGTCGCAGCAAAAAGTGCTGCAGCAGCAGCAGCAAGTATTGCAGCAACAGCAGCAAGTGCAGCAGCAACAAAACGAACAGCATTAAAAGACACAGCAGCAGCAGCAACAACAATAACAACACCAACAGAAGCAGCAGAACCGACAACAACAACAACCCAGAAGCAGCAGCAGCAGCAGCAGCACCAGAAATGAATGCTGCAGACACCGTTATGTGCTGCTGCTTTTCGGTGTTTGTTCTTCTTTAAAATTGCTTGCTTCAAACATTTTTGTTTTATCTTTTATGAAGACAGCAGCACTTTAGGTGTAATCGAAGTGGCAGCAGCAAACGAAGCTTTTAGTATAATATCTGTCTATATAAAACACAAGTACACACGCTAATGAGTCTCCTACTGCTGCTGTTCTTGCTGCTGCTGCTGCTGCTGCTGCTGCTGCTGCAGGGCCGCTCACCAGTCAAATAGAGCCAACCCCCCTTCTGGTGCAGCTTAAATATTTATAAAGACAGAGAAGAACTGCACAAAGAAGGATATAAACATTAATATACTAATGGAAATACAATAAATAAACATTAATATACTAATGGAAATACAGTATATAAACATTAATATGCTAATTTAAATATAATATTTTTAAATATAATATGTAAACATTACTCTACTAATATAAATACAGTAGTTAAAAACCCTAATAAAGTCTTAAAGACGCTGTATATAGGTGCAGCTAAAGTTAATAAGAGAAAAATATATTTTATTTGCATACGAGCGATGCGGCGAGCGTGTGCACATGCAAGCATTAGTTTGGTGCTGCTGTGGTTCTGCTTCTTTTTTAGAACAACAACGGGCTAAATGCACCTATTTAATTCCTTTTAATTAATTAAACGCAATTTAAAAAACAAAGAGAAATAAAAGGAATAAAAGAGCTACTTGTTGCCCACTGACAACGAACGCTGCCCCCCCCTTTAGGGGCTGTTGCAAGCGAAGGAATGAGAAGAAACAGAGGTGAAAATAGCAGAAAATAGAGAAATATAAAATAAATTAATTGAAATAAATATATTAATTTCTTAAGGTTTTAAATTTATGCTGTGGGGCGCTGCCTTTTATGCAAAATTAATAAAATTCGATTAAATCTGCAACGGGTATTATCAGTCGTTGCGATGGGGCTGGCGTGCATGCATCGAAGAAGATAGCAATGTTTCTTTAAATTGGGTGTTGAATTCATAAAAGAAATATATTTATATTTTCTCATTTTCTTTTCCTCATTCAGGAGGTTAAGAGGCTGCCGACGAATGCCTTTATATTGGGTTTCTTCCGCTTCAGGTGTCTGCTGAGCTCCACAGGCGGTTTGCTTGTTTGTGCAGCTTTCTTGCATATATTCTCATCATTTCTATTCTTTTGTGTTTCTTTTTTTGTTTTTCGTTCTTTTTCATGCTGTCTCGTCAAAAGAACACCCACTCGGCCTCTGCCGAGCTCAACGGTGCAGCTTTCTTCTCGTCTTTTCTCGTGTTTACATCAGGCGATTCTTGCTGGAAAAAAGAACATCCACTGGGTCTTTTTGTCATTTCTTCGCTGATCTCTATCTGAATGAACTTCATCAAAGCAAAAGAATTCTTTTGAGGTGCTTAAACCCCATTTTACCTGGCGCTTTCCACCTCTTTCGTGCAGATTCAACTGCCTATACACCGCAGAATAAGCACAATCTGCAAAAAAAGCAATATAATAAGAAAGTCATTTAAATAAACAAATATTAAAATGGCGGATCTCGATCAGTCAATTGAACAATGGAAGATCAAACAACTCATCAAAACTCTACAAGCCGCAAGAGGGTAAGGAAATAATATTAATATTCTTTTAAGTAATATCACTATCATTGTTATTATATATTTTAGAATAATATATATTATTATTCTTAAAGAATATTCCTTTATTTACTATGAATATGATTGTTATGGATTTAAGGATAACATATATTATTTCTCTTTAATAATGTTCTTTTAACTATTGTGAGTTATGATTATTATTATCTTTATTTTTAATTAATACTTTTAATTATTATGATTATGATTATTATTTTTATTCTTGTTTTTGGTATTGTTATTATTTTATTATGGATATAATCGGAATATCGTTGTAAGTGTTGTTAATATAATTATGATTATTATATTAACATTCCTATTATTATTATTATTATTATTATTATTATTATTATTATTATTATTATTGTTATTGCTGTTTGAATTATTATTATTTATATCTACAGTGTGTTCAGCATGTCTTATGCATTAATTATATATGTTGTTTATACTGATTATAATTGCATATAAAACTTTATTTTTCTGTCTTTCTTCTGATTATTTAACAATTAAATACTGTCTTTATACCCATTGCAACAGACACAATAATAGCTTGATGTTTTGCTTTCTTTTTCTTTTATTGCTGCTGCAGCAACGGCACATCAATGATTAGTTTAGTAATAAAACCTAAAGATGAAGTCAGCAGAATAAGCAAAATGCTCGCAGATGAATTTGGGACGGCGTCAAATATTAAAAGCAGAGTAAACCGTCTCTCTGTTCTCTCCGCTATTACCTCCACACAACAGAGTACGTACACCCTATACTTCTCTTGCTGTTGCTGCTGCTGCTCGTGCTGCTGCTGCTGCTGCTCGTGCTGCTGCTGCTGCTGCTCGTGCTGCT